TGATTCTCCTGCCTCAACCTCCAGAGTGCTGGGATTGCAGGTGTGAATAAGGACTCCCAGATTGTTTTTGTTGTTTTGTTTAATTGTGGCACTACCAAAAGAGAGTAATACCTCTTTCCTTATTCTAAAGGAAATGTTTCTACATCACAGAATCTGATGAGTCACTGTTAAATATAATGTGTCTTATATCCCAGCACTCAGGAAGTTGATGCAAGCTTTCTAATACAAGATCAGCTGAGGCTCCAGAGTGAAAACTTGTCTCTATATACACACATATATGTAAACACACATATTTGTCTTTAGGTCTAGTGTCTGTATATGAGAGAAAGCAGGCTACTTGTCTTTCTGAGTCTAGTTTATTTCACATAATATGATCATCTCCAGGTCCATATGTTTCCTGCAAATGACATGTTTTCATTCTTTTCAGTAAATGCACAATATTTCATTGTGTACAGGCACCATATTTTCTTTATCCATTCACCAGTTGATGGGCACCAGACTTGGTTGTTTTAAATAGTGCTATAATAAACATGGATGTGCAGGTATCTCTATTGTATGCTCACTTACATTACCTCAGATACATGTTTACAAGTAGAGTAGTATCATATGGTAGATCTAATTTTAGTTTTTGAAGAATTTCCATACTATTCTCCATAGTGGCTGTATCTCTCTATTAGTATGATTTAGGCTCCTTTGTGTATATTCAGGCCACTAGGATTATATGTGAGAACCCCTGGTACCAGGTAGCCATGAATATTTGAATATGATTGAATTGATCATAAATTGGAGCTTCAAGAAGCCTAAAACTATTCAGAATGAAGTATCTTGGGTTCTATTACATTTTTTAACCTCCTGGCCAGAGAGAAAAGAATTCAGCTTCCAGCATAAACAAAGACATTTAGATTTTTCATATTTTTGTCTCTATCCTTATATGTTATGCAAATTTAAGATGAAAATACCTTATAAACCTAGTACATTCAAAAGCCTCATCAAAATTTTATAGGTTAACTAATAGTGTAACTACTATGAACTTTGATTTTTTTCCACAGGCTAACATTGTTTTTACTTCAGGAAAAGTTAATCACTGCTGCTTTAGAATAAAAATTAACTCACACAGACTTGAGTGAATGTAATTTTGCCAATATTATTTCCTATGGTTAGGATTAAAAAGATGATTTATTATACAGTGCATAGGTATCTTGTCTGTCACATTTTGTGAATAAATACACATCAATAAGTCAGAATTAGTCACATAAAGTAAACACAATACTATACTGAATATTTTGGCATTTCCTCCCAGATATTCAAACATGTACACTGTTTCTGGACCATTATATTGGAGTTTTTCCATGATTTGGTACATAATACATGTTCTTTCTGAGTTAAAATTCTCACAGCCACACATTGAGGAAGGTGGTAGGATTTTTGATCTTTTAATCACTAATTTGGCTGACTCTTGGAATTTGCACAAATGTGTTTAGCCCTGCCCAAATGAATTTCCTTTGTCAGGCTTTTCAAAGAGATGAAGGGGGCATTAGGCCATGTATGGCTTTGGTTAGATGCTGTTGATCTCATAACAGAACATTAAATAATTATTTTACTCCTAGTTGACACACACAACATGAATTATTTAACATCTCAAAATTTCTGGCCTTCTATTTTAGTTAATAACAGTGACTGAACTACCATGCTTGTAATAATAAATACTTTTGAAGGACTTTAAATTACTTCATACAGGGTTTCTATCAATACAAATGAGAGATGTCCAATAGAGTCTGTCCTGTAGCCAGTCATTTATTCTTGACAGGCATTGTTAATCCATAGGACTTCTTTTCTTTTTTGTATAGATTTTTACTGTAAAAATACTGTACAGAGGGGTTACAGTTACATGAGTAAGGTAATGAGTACATTTCCTATTGAGTGTTGTTACCTCCTCCTTTGTTTTTCCCCCACCATTCCCTCCCTCTCCACCTCTGCAACTCCCCTGCCCCTACAAAGTTGTAAAGTTCGTTTTCTACATAGTGTCTTATACATCTCATTGTTACATTAGGTCAACCTACATAGAACTTTTTTCTTCTGAGCCTAGATTCAGCAACAGAATTTCACAAGAATGTCTATTCCAGCAGCTAATGTAAATGGTTCAGAGTTGAGATTCAGATTGAAACTTACTTGCCATCCTGAGAAATAGTGATCTAAATGCTACACTGAAGTAAGCCAGTGTGTGCTGCTCTACAACTTGTGTACCCAGTTAAACAAGGAAGTTTGTAGAGTTTGTAGAACTGATTTAATGCATTCTGCTTTGTGATAGAAACTACAGTTTACTCTGAAGGGAACTGTGTGTAATTTTTTGGGACATTTATTTCTTGCTTACAGTATCCTCATAAGGATTTAGGACTTTTTCTTGGTAATAAAAAAAAAAACTAGCCATCTCAAAAATCATTCAAAAATGTCCTTGGGTTGTTTTGTTGTTGTTGTTTTTAAATATGGGGGTGAGGTGGAATCTCAATGATGTTTTGACTTGCTTTTACTTTATGGCCAGGCATGTTTAGCATTTCTTCTTGTGCCCATTGGCCATTTTTACTTCTTCTGAGAAGATTCTATTTCACTCATTAGCCCATTTATTAATTGGGTTGTTGTGGTTTTTCTTTCTTTTTTTCTTTCTTTTTCTTTTTTTGGTTTGGTCATGGGGCTTGAACTCAGAGCCTGGGTGCTGTCTCTGAGATTTTCTGCTCAAGGTTAGCACTCTACCACTTGAGCCACAGCGCCACTTCTGACTTTTGCTGTTTATGTGTTACTGAGGAATCGAACCCAGGATTTCATGCATGCTAGGCAAGCACTCTAGCACCGAGCCACATTCCCAGCCAGGTTGTTGGTCTTTGAGGGTCTTTTGAAGGTTTAATTTTTTAAGTTCTCTGTGAAACTCCTTTGTATAGCTACCTAAAGATAATTTCAAAAAGTCAATCAAACCAAGTCTTGTCCTTTATTTTATGAGAACTAAAAATAACTTATGATTGTCTTTTCTCCTGCTATGGACACATTAAAGTCAAATCTCTGGCTCACCATTTACCAGGGCATTTTCCTCTTGGTTCAGAAAGAGAAAGTACTTAAGTACTTATCACTAACTATATCTTATTACTAACAGCTTTATTTTCTCTTTAAAAAGTCTTCTTTCCTAGATTCCTTTGGGGTTTTTTTGTAAGCTCCTGAAATCACTTGTAAAAGATCAGTTATATGTTAACTACATTAAGATGAACACTGTAACGTATTCAAGCTGTATCTGCTCCCATTTCATGTTTGTTTATTGTACGTGGAAGAAATGACTTACATTTGAAACATCTTATTTAAATAAGGCAGAGTCAAGGTCGGAGTGAACTGAATAAAAACATTTTGTTGAAAATTATTTTCTCTGTGCTCCTTCTAGCTCAACTATGTTGCCAGTGTTTCCAAGGGAAAGATGAATAGGTAAAAGAGAATGAAAGTATGATCCTCAGCAGGAAAGGGGAGGGCCAATTGTGGGGGTGAATGAGTATGAATATAATCGAAGTAGCTAATTTGCATGCATGAAAACAGAACTGTGAAATCTGTTGAAATTGTTTTAATGATAGAAGAAGGAGATAAAGGAGTGTGAAAGAGGCGGATTAGTTTTATCAGGATACATTATATGTATGGGAATGTTACAATGAAAAATTCTACCACAAACATATGCTAATAAAAATTGTAAAAAATATGAATGTAAAATTGTTATTGCTGCCCTATGAAGAATTATATGCAGAAAATCTTGATGCTTATAAAGTGGAGGAGACTGTTTTTATTCATGTTAAACAATATACATACAAGAAAGATTTTATAAAGGATTATAAAAATGCCTAACAGTGGCTGACCCAAAATACCCTATTAATGACACCAAGACCTGTGATTACCAAGCCTTTTCTAACCTATCAACTCCCTTACCACACTTACTTTCTCATCATTTTTGTTTTGTGAAAACCCAAGTGGGACTAACTCCTTGTGGCCTGTCTTTTTTTTTTTCCAGTCAAATGGCTAAAGGAGAGTGCTTTTCTCCCAGAAGTCTCTATTCCAAGATTTCTGGATGTATAATCTCCGTGTGTGTGTGTGTGTGTGTGTGTGTGTGTGTGCAGAGTTGTTAATGAGAACAAGAACAGAATATTCTCAGAGCATAATCAGAATCAGTGTAAGTGGGGTGATGTTGAGACATGCCTTATCAAGAGGGTACTGGGTTTCTAGAAAAATTCACCTGGAAGAGACAATAGGCAACAGAGGATTCTACTTACTCCATACAGTTGCCTAGCCTTTAGGATCGGTAAAAAAAGAAAACAAAAAAAAACATTCTGGTTTTAAAAAATATGAAAACTGGCTGGAAGACACATGGACCCACAATTCAAGTTCAAAGGATGTTTAGAAGCTTGAGTAAATTGTATAAAAAAATACATTCATTATTTGTTTCCCGATTGAGTCACCTGTACCTACCACAAATCACTCTGTTTGGAGACAGGAGAAACCTTAGGAAAGTCACTTTTTGGCGGTACGGATTTTTGAACTCAGGGCTTTCTGCTAACCAGGCTGGAGCTCTATCACGTTAGCCCTGCCCCTACTCCTTTTAGCTTTCTTTAATTTTCCAATGGGGTTTCCCATTTTGCTCGAGTGGACCAGTTTGTCACGAGCCTGTCCCATCAGCTACCCAGAAAGTGTAAATAGGAAAGTCACTTTTTAGACGAGGCTCCTGGATTAGCAGTCTTGATTTCACCCCATGAATGTGGCTGGCAGTGGGCAGGGAAAGGGAAGCAGAGTGATGGGCAGAGAAAGGGGGACAGAATGATTTGGCAGTACAGCCCAGAGGCGTGGTGAGGGGTGAAGGGGCGTGGCTGAGGTGGGAAGGGTGTGGCCAGGATTGAAGTTCTGAGACTGCAGTAGAGCCTGCTAATATCGGGTGGGGGCGTGGCCTCCAGGAAGAGGCAGGTCTCGGGCTTGTGGGGCGTGGCTTTGATTGCCGAGCGCAAGTCCCGGGTCGTGAGAGACTAGCGGGCTGTGAGCTGAGTGAGTACTCATAAGAAAACCCTCAGGTAAGGATGGTTGCCTAGTGGAGTGGGATCTCCCTATTGAAGCCGGAACGGGCAGTTCCAAAGAAGGCCGCGACTCCCCATGACTCTCCCCTCCTGGTGTCCAAGTCCCAGCAGCTGTTGGGTTTACAAGTATTTCCTGAGTTCCCGGAGAGCGCCCCAGATTAAAGAGGGCCTACTTAAGGACTTCGTATTCTGTACCCTAGCCCTTTTCCTCTACTACAGTCCTTTGCACTTCACCAGAAAATAGCTGTCCCAGAGAATTTGTGGGGGACACGAGGCCAAGTACTTCAGAGGGCATGTTGCCAGCGGTGAATGAATCTAATCAAGTCCAGCCTGCTCTGAAACAGTTGCAGACCAGGGTAAAGGCTACAAATCTTAAGTTACAGTTCCAGAAACCAAGGCACGCAGTAAGCTGGAACTCACTGAGCACTGCATTGTGCTTCTTCCCCACCCCCATCCCCACGGTGCCAGGAACTGGGGACAGACTCATAGTCACCCCCAAGGTAGGGATCACCATCACAGCTGTGCCTGTGGAGAAATCTGAGCTTTTTTTTCCCACTCCCCAAGTTCTTCTCCTGGCCCTTTGGTTTTTGTGTCCCATTCTAAGAGCTGAAGAAGAGGAACCCCCAAATGCAAACTTGTTGGAAGTTGATGTTCTTTGTGGCTTTCATCCTTAAACACTTCTGTTTCGTGGCTAGTGGCAAAGTATGAATATTAATGTGTGTTCTCCCCTCCCATGTATTTTCCCCTGGGAAAGTTTGAGAGATACCAAGTGTTAATTTTATATGTATATACTTCAGAACTTGTTCTCTCAGCCACTGAAAACCACATTAGTTCTTTCTCCACTTTCTTCACTGATTGATAATGGGAATGATCTCCACACTGCTGTTTAAAAGCCTTTCTTTCAAAATATGGAGAGAAATAACCCCATATTCCTCAGATGGGTCATGGATCTGTTGGAAATGGAAGCCCTTTCAGGTTGTTTTGGTTTGGTTTTTGGAGTTTTGTTTTGTTTTGTTTTTAGGTCTTCCTTTCTTTTCTCAGATCCTTTAAAATCAGTACCTAGACCAAGACTCACCTTTGCTGAAAGATCAAAAGCAGCAAGGATACCGTTGTGTGTGCCCGCATATTACTGCTCTGTTCTCCCTGAAGCTAGGCAAAAGTCTGTCACCACTCACAACTGGAACAAAATGCAGTTTGAGTGGATTGTGAGTAAACAAGCCACTATGAGCATTTTTGAAATCTGATGAAAAGAGGAAAATGTATTACTCTCATGGCCACACTGGGGCAGATAGTTGTGGCACACAGAACAATTATTAGACCTGTATTTTGAAACATCTCAGATTGGGATCACACTCCTAGAGAAGAAATGGGTGAGAGGAGGAAGCTAAGCTTTCTTATCAAGATAAGGCAACATCATCTCTATTTTAGATTTCAGGGAATTGCAAAAGATCTTCTTCTTTTGGAAAGCAAGAAGCAAGAAAATGAAGGGTCAATCTGATGGGAACCAAGGAATTTCTTTCAATGCAGTTGTAACTTTTAGTCTGAGTACAGTTTCTTTTATTTTGCTATCTGTTTTGCATAGATACAAATAATTTAATGAGGCAGAGTTTATGCTACTTGTTATAATAAACACACAGTTTTCAAATGATTCTTTAAGGGGTTTCAGATTTTCTTCTTTTCCACACATTTCTATGTCTGAAAAACAACAGGTAAGAAACATGTCAGGAAAATCCAAGAGTATTTATATATAATAATTTAAATGTACATTTAAATAATCAGCTATAGCAAAGTGCATAGCATGGCAAAGCTTAGTTTCCTGTGGCACATTGAGTCTATTGATATATCTTTATGGACGAACTTAAACATAAGCTATTTTTTAGGAAATATAGTAATGTGTGGTAGTCTATTGTTATATGCTATGTTTAATGCTTAAACTATTATTTATGGTTTCACAGACTTAGCTATGTTGAGTTCAGCAAGAGAGCTATACGTAACTAACTCAATAAATCATTTCCTTGAGTTTAACAGAAAAAATAGACCTGAGTATTAAATTCCTCATATATTGTTGTAAGTTTTGTGGCTAGTGATGCCAAATTGAGTTTCTATTTGGATTTTCTTAGAACCCTCCTTTTCTCTGATACTCCAGGTTCTGTTCCTTTTTTGACTGTTTGCTCCCTCACAATCTCTTAGCATCTTGATGGGGGGCAGGGGTGAAGGAGGGATGGGGGGGAGAGGTGGGGGAGGTGTGGATTGTGGATGTGTGTGATCCACTCCTGGGGCTTGAACTCAGGACTTGAGCACTATCCCTTAGTGGTTTGGGTGGTTAATTGGACATAAGAGTCTCATGGGCTTTTCTGCCCAGGCTGACTTCAAATCACAATCCTCAGATCTCAGCCTCCAGAGTTGCTAAGATTACAGATATAAGTCACAGGCACCTGCCTTGGCATCTGTAATACTTCTTTTATAGTATACCTGTAACTTATACAGGGAGGGATCTTCCTTTGGTCTTTCACTTTGTGATGGCTCCTGAGTGGGATGGATGCATTACTAACCCTGTCCAAGACCTTTCCTTCTGGCTTTCCCATTGGCACTTCAAATCATCTCCTCCCTTGGTTTTCATACCAGTGTCTGTTCCTCATTTTCATTCTACCAACAGCGTTCCAGCTATAAAATCACAAGACCTCTACTTCTTCACCAAATATAAAAACCTACTTTTGGGCTGGGAAGGTGGCTCAGTGGTAGCGCGCTTGCCTTGCATGCCTGAGGCCCTGGGTTCGATTCCTCAGCACCACATAAACAAGAAGAAAAAAGCCGGAAGTGGTGCTGTGGTTCAAGTGGTAGAGTGCTAGCCTTGAGCTGAAGAGCTGAGGGACAGCGTCCAGACCCGAGCTCAGGCCCCATGACCAGACCAAAAAAAAAAAAAAAACCTACTCTTTTCCTTTTCCTTTTCTTTTTTAGGTACTGAGGTTTGAACTCAGGGTCACATATTTGCAATTAATCACTGGAGTCATGTTCCCAGTCCTTTTTTCACTCTAGTCATTTTATCAGATAGGATTTTGGGGGTTTTGCTTAGGGCCAGCCTCAAACCTTGATCCTCCTATGCAGGCCTCCTGTGTATTTGGAATCAAAGATGTATACCTATCACCATGCCTTATTTATTTATTGCGATAAGGTCTCACTACCTTTTTTTGCCCAAAGAGGTCTCAGAATATGATCCTACCAATCTTTGCTTCCCAAACAGCTAGGATTATGGGCATGAGCCATTGTGTCCAGAACATTCTCCTCCTCCTCCCACCCATTCTCAAAATCAAACTGACTATCTCTTAAATACAAAGTACCTTGTCTGTCTCTACTGGCACTGCCAGTTCACTGCTTCATAGTCTTTCACTTGGACTACTAGAATTTCATTTTAAACTCTGCATGACCCCAACCTAACCTGTCTACCCCAAAAACTGTTTCACCCACTGTCTTTACTCTCTGAGTTGATGGCAACTCTAACCTTCCAGTTGCTTAGGCTAAGAATCTTTCAGTAATCCTTAACCCCTTTCTTTCACATCTTATAAGCTATATCTCCAGAACACATCCAGAATCCAAGCACATCTTATCACCTGTACTGTGACCTGCACAGTTTTATGTCCCTGGATTATCCTAAAATACCTTCTTCTTTATTATTGCCTCTTGTATACTTGCCGATGAAATAGGATTTTTTCCCTTGCTGGAGATTTAAGCAGGGATCTCACAAGTGCTGTGCAAGAGTTCTACATTGAGCTACTTCTCTACTACTTCGAAGCTGATTTTTCATAGGTAACATCAAGTAATCTAAAAATGTAAATCAGCAGGCTAGCCCAGGGCTTCAAGTGGTAGACCACCTGCCTAGCAAGCCCCAGACCTGAGTTCAAACCTCAGTACTGCTAAAGCGAATTAAGTAAATGAATGCATTAAAAAAATAAAATTGTAAATCAGATTGTTCCTCCTCTGCTCAAAAAAATAGATTTCCTCGGTTCACTTAGAACAGCTCTACTTCTCAGCTTCAGCCCACTTCTACTGGGCAACATTTGGCAATAGCTGGAAACACTTTTTCATTGTTGCTGTTGTGCCAGTCTTGGGACTTGAACTCAGAGCCTGAGTACTGTCCCTGAGCTTCATTTTGCTCAAGGCTAACACTCTACCACTGGAGCCATGACTTTACTTTCAGTTTTGGAGGTGATTCATTGGAGATGAGAGTCTCACAGTTTTTTTTTTGACCTGGGCTGGCTTCAAACCATGATCCTCAGATCTCAGCCTCCTGAGTAGCTGGGATTACAGGCGTGAGCCACTGGCACCAAGCTGGAGCCACTTTTTGTTACCATAACGCTCCTGTAAGTTCTCTAGGCCCCTAACCAATATTAGCCAGTAGGGATTCTTCTATACGCAGAACATCTCCTCTCAACCTTCTCGTCAGTAACTCCAGGATTGAGAAACCCTGCCTGAGAAAAAGAACCCTTATGATGGCCTAGAAATCAAATCGATCTCTCATCCATTGCTTCTGGACCCCACTTATCTTCTTCCTGGTTGTCTTCACTCCAACTATATTGGCAATCTTTTGAATGTGCCAAATGTGCTCCTACTTCAGGGTCTTAGCTCAAGTACCGTCCCTCACCATTCCTTTAGAGAGGCATATAATGACTTCTCTCCCTCTTTCAGTCCTTTGTTCAAATTTCACCTTCTCAATGAGGCCAAATGCAACACTCTGTCCCCAGTAACACTCCACATTCACCTTTTCCTGCTCTACTTTTCACTGAATATATTCACATGGTCTCTACAACTGCTTTCTTTATTATGTTTTTGTTTCTCATCTGTATCTCTCTACTAGAATGCAAGCATCACAATGGTATGGTTTTAGTTTTATTCACCAACACTTAATCAATGTTCATTTCTTATCTTGAAGGAAGAAAGAATAAATGAGTAAAGGCTTGGTTAGGGGATGGTTGACAGACTCTCCTCTTTCTTGACTTTTCTGGCTTGCTTATCCCCATCCATCCTGTGCTCTGCAGCCAGTCATCAGTACCTATTGCTTCCCATCATATACAGAATATAATCAAAAGCTTTCCAGACTCTTTGAAATTCATAGTTCCCAAAACAATCTTAAATCTCATGTAACCCCACCTTCCACTGCATCCTGAGGTTTCTGCTTGTTCTGCACACTGAAAAATACCAATAGCACGCATGGGACGATGAGAAGGAACTTTAGACTTCCTTTCCCTTTGGTTTCAAAAAACGAGTTCAAGAGTCAGGCATTAGTGCTTCATGCTTGTAATCTTAGCTACTCGGGAGGGCAAGATGTGACGATTGTGATTCCAAGGCAGCTCAGGCAGAAAAGTCGATGAGATTCTTATCTCCAATCAACCATCAAAAAGCTGGAAGTAGGTGAGGCTCAAGTAGTAGAGTACTAGCTATGAACAAAATGCTAAGGGACAGTGGCCAGGCCCTGAGTTCAAGGGCCCCCCAGTACCAGCACACACAAGAGAAACAGGTTTAGAATTCTGTTTGTGTTGTCGACAGAATGCAAAAGAAAGTATGTAGAGTCACTGCTCCCTACAATAAGATCAGCAATTGTCTGGGGAACAATTTAGACTTCCAGGCCACTACAGGCAGTCCACCACTAGGTGGCGAGCTTTGTGAATGATTGGAAGAGTGCAGGTGACATCAGGGCCTCTTAACACTAAGAGCTGAAGGGATACAGGAGATATTTCCTCTGGATCAGATGTCATCGACCAGCAGTCTTGGCATTGTCCACACATAGTGTGACTACTGAGTATGAGGTGGTCCTTATGGTGTAATCAAGGCCCTGGCTTTAGCCCCAGCCTGCCAGGCCAGCTTAATCTTGGCTCAGTCTTCTCCTGAGAACTGGCTGAGGAGTGAGGCCAGACTTCTCCAAGAACCAGTGATAACAAGCCTAAGATCCACTATTCTCCTTCTTGGGCGGGGCCCTGTGCTCTGGACATTGTGTTTATGCAATTCCTGTGACTAGCACGCATGTCCTTGCCTGGTCTTATCGCAACCTTCACTTGGAAGGCTGAACCAGTCCACCCCTTCTCTTGCTTATATACTGTACCTGGCATTGTCTCTTGGGAAGTTACTAAGTCACTCTTCTCCACTAGGTTGTAGAAAATAATGGCTTCTTTATTCATTGTTCCCACACCTCTTTAACATTGTAATCAACCATTTACTGAATAATCTAAGTTCTGCCTGTTTCCACACCCAGTTTGTCCTTTGTGGCCTTGTACTCATCATTCCTGAAGCTTCCCCTGTCCTTCTGCCTTGGCCCATCCTGTTGAATTGTTTCAACTCCCCTGCCACTCCTCAAAACTTTGAGCCTTTGCCCCTATATTCTTACTGTACTAAATGGAGACTGTCATTGCTTTTAATTTGAAGAGATCTGTTCAGTTATGCTAAGCAAATAAGCCAGCCATAGACGAGCAAATATTGTACGATTCTACTTACACGAGGAACAAGAATAAGCAAATACACAGAGACATACAGTAGAAAAGAAGTCGCCAAGCACGAGACTTGTATTTGCTGAATTGAGAGTTTATATGGGGAGGAGGGATGGTGGAGGATATTTAGGTATAGATGGCATATATATAATATATAACATATATTATATATAATAAATGTATTTAGTCCCTGCATTTGTACAATTAGGATTGCTTAAAATGGTAAATATTGTGTATGTTTTATCACAGTTTTTTCAAAGGGAACTAAAAAGAGAGAAATACATATTTTTCCTTGTAGATTCCAAGATTTAGAGAGGCAAGAAGGGCCTGACCTTTTCATTTCTAAAACAGTACACTGTTGTACATAAGGTAATTGTGCATTATTCTGTCTGTTCAGGAATGGAAGTGAGTACAAAGGAAGCTCAGAGATAAACTGCATTTCCCCCACATCTCTTGGCAGTTGTTGAAATTTCATTTTAATGTCAAATAAATTTACCAGAGGGAATCTTGACTCGTTGTAATTGTTTGATGTTATTGACTTTAAGAAAGGACATTAAAGGTCCTTCAGAACTACTTTCTATTTTCTTATATTTTGCATTTATATCATGAGTAGCATCTTGGTATTGAATGCTAATAATTTGGTTTCATCTAACACCATCTTTTCCAGAGAGCTTTCTTAGAGCTTGTACTGTTGGAGGTCATAGAAAGAGTCAGCTTCTTAGTAAAGTGTTCATTGGCCTATTTTTTCTGCTCTTCTGGTTCTAGATTCCTGAGTAAGTTTAAGACTATACATTAAGCCTCCACCTTAAGCACTTCATTTCATATAATCCCTTTTTTTCTGCTTAACTGCAACTATAAGTGATACAGTTCATGCTAAACATACACTGTTTCATTCCAGAATATGCTGGCAGCCAAATGATAGTTCTTGGTTCTTGCAATAAAGATCAGTATCTTTTCTGTCATCTGTTCCAGCCACCAAACATCCATCCTTTACAAGAGGCTGTGTCTCTAAGAAATGCAGCTGTAATGGACACAGACACTGTCCTCAGTGACCACATGGGATTAGGATCTGGGAAGGATATTATTGATTAGGTACTTTCATTCAACTGGAATACACACTATAATTTTGAAAAGGGAGCTAGGCTAACCTGGTGGTCACATGATTAGGACAAGCTAGAAGGAAGCCAGTCTGGAGTCAGTCACCTGAAGAATGGGCAGGAATTAACCAAATACAGATTGAGGGAGTGTGGTTCAAGGAAGGATGTCTGCAGAGTCTGGAAGAGACAACAAAAATTGGAAAAACTGAAGTTCCCATGGCAGGTGTGCAGGTACAAGCACAAATGGACATGGACATGTGGCTAAGAACTCAGCAGAGCCAGGCTATGAAGTCTTGCAGCTACACTGCAGTTATGGTTGCCCAAGTGGTATCCCAAGCAGTTCTCTGAATGCATTGCAAATAATCACTGTAAGCATTTCAAAATCTTCAGTGGAATGAATGTAGAATAGAGTTTATTTTTAATTTCAGAACTTGTTTGTTCACTTGGTACAGAGATGAGAGTTTCAGGAAATGTGGATGAAGCAATATCGGAGCAGGGGTGGAGAGCTGGTAGCAAAGTGTTTGAAGATAATCTTGCCCTATTGTAATGATTCTATAATGAACACCCTAGGAACCACTGTCTTCTGAGATTTTCATTGGGAGCATATAAGAAGCAGAGAGAGAATTAAATAGTAATCTTGTCCATATCCTTCATATACCCACACCATCATGTTACACCAAATAGTGGCAAAGAGTCGCCGATTATATTTAAGCTTAGATTTCAAAACCACCCATGACTATTTTGGCAGGATGTGACTTGTTTTCTCTCTCTCTCTCTCTCTCTCCTCTCTCTCTCTTCTCTCTTTGTCTCTCTGTCTCAAAGCAGTCCAGAGCAGAGAAAATGATTGTTTTGATTCAGTTCCCTGCTGGATAATTAATTAGGACTTGAGGGAGTCGGGAGTCATGTATTTTTTTTTAATTTTAAAACGTGAGACCATAAACAGTTGCTTATTCATATGAATGAAGAGAATCTTTTCTTTAGGCCTCTAATATTTGAAAGCCCTGAGGGAAAGGCCAAGCACATGAGTCAGTCTTCTGAATCCTGCCTGCTACTGACGGACCAATGAGATTGAGGAACAAAAGAGCAAATAAACCATTGACTCTTGTTTGCCTGGCCCCCACCTCAGGGTGTGAGCTAAACTACCAGTCTGAATGTTGTCCTACTTAGATGTTTCCACATGATTTTTAATCTCTGTTGCTCATAGTGTTTCCTCCTCAGCTCTTCCCCAGATTTTTAGATCCCTGCAAGTAACGGAGATTTCAACTCAAAGAGGATGATGCATCAACTGAGAGGGATCCTTCAAACATCTCCATGCAAATTGCTGTGGAGAAGGTTCCCGGTTCTGACATCCATGCCAGTGAGAACCTGCAGTCTTTATACCTGCACTTACAGAACCCGGAACCGAGCCTGTGAGTACTCCATTTCCCTAAAGAGAGCAAAAAATGCTTGTTGCATTTGTAACAGTCACATGTGTTATACATGTGCAGGTATGATGTCATTAACATTCCAGTGTAGAATTATATGCCTAAGACCTGTGAGAATAACTGCTTCTCTAATGATTTATTAAAGTAAATGGGGGAGTTCTTTCTTGACCAAATCTCCTCCCCTGCTCCCCAAGTACACTGTGTTTAAAGTCAGAACCTTTGCTTGCTTGCTCAGCTGGTGCTTTACCAGCCATAACTCCAGCCTGCATTTTTGCTGGTTATTTTGGAGATGAAGGCTTTCGGACTTTTCCAAGACTGGAGTGGAGTTTAAACCTTGATCATCTAGATTGCAGCTTCTTAACTAGCTAGAATTACAAGTATGTGCTACCAGCACCCAATTTGATCAGTTTTTAAGATGATGTCATTGCCAAACTGAGCAACAGATAGCCAATTTCAAATATCATGGAATCTTACATATTTATCACTTGTTGTTGGCATTTTTTTAAACTAAGGTTGATTCACAGTCTATATGCAAATTATTTCAATGACTCATATTTCTGGAAGATGCATGTTAATACTTTCAAGCTATTCAATAGCTTTGTGTTCTGAAGTCTAAATCCCAGAGTTAATTCTGGCTGACAGGCTTGCAGGGGTGTGTTCTGCTGTAAATGTGGAAGGGAAGTGGGGAGGCAGAGGATATTCCTCAAATCTTTCAGTTCTCTCCTGGAACTACAAGGTGGTGGCCATGTCATGACAGTGCAGAAATCCTCCATTGTTACATTCACATAGAGGATAGGTTGCTCCGTGCTTTGGGGACTGTCCTTTACTGGCAACACGCTGGTAACATCCTCCTCCACCAGTTACAAGAACCACAAAGTGTCTTTAGAGATTGCCCCACACTCTAGGGAACAAAATCGCCCTCTGGTTAAGAACTATTGAGATAATGGGAGGATAATGTGCATTTGTAGAGAGTTGAATTTGGGTTTATGGAAAGATAATTTCTCTTAAGGCATATCATTAAAGAGGGTGTTTTAATTCATATTTTCCATTATTTAGGAGAAACTGACACTGACTTTTCAAATGTCGGTCTACATTTAGATCTAGGTTTCTCCATTTTAATCATGTTTACTCTCTGACCCTATGTGTACATAATAAAAAGAATGGGTAAAATGGAACTTTGAATGGTGAGAGAAAAGGAAGGGGAACATGGTCCTAATATTTAATCTACATAAGTGAAAAGGAACAATGTAACCTTGGGGTGTGAGTGGGTTGGGAAAGATAGGGGAGAACAATGGAAGAGATAATATTGACCCAGATGCATTATAATAATTTGTTAAATTTGTAGCTGATTTGTTACATTGAGACCCCTTTGTATAATTACTTGAAAATGTTTTTTTAAAAAATCTCACATCTGAAAGGGGACAAAATAAATCAGTAAAGATAATTCAGGTAAGCACAGGGTTTTGAAACTGCTCCATAAATATATTTTAATTGGAAGTTTGTTTCCTTCTCTTCAACATGGACTATATTCTCATCAAAGTAAACTGTCCGGAGTCATAATACATTTTTGGTTGTTGGGTGTGGCTTCCTACCAGCTTGCCCACATCCTACTCAGAGCAGCCCATTCTGAACTCTGGCACTTTGTGGTCTGAGGCTAAAAACAGAAAAAATTAGTCATACTTATCTGGCTACAAAAATTTTCCTTAAAAAAAAAAACCAGAACACTAAAAGCTAAGCAACTAAAATCTTGTATGTTTATGTGTGTAGGACAGTTTGCTGCTTTCAGTGGGGTGAAGAAAAGAACATTAATGGCCTGAGGAGGTGGGGCTTTATTTATTGTTTCACATTGTATTGCATGTGTTTGTTTGTAAATCAGTAGAGGGAAATAAAAACCAGGGCACAGTTACCATTTATTTAGTTCTTGGCATACTACACTGTCCCAACCTGTTTTTACCCAGTGGTTATTAGGGTTTTGTTGCCCCACTGAGAATATTTTCCTCTTTAAATATCCTAACTTGCCCTGCCTAGTGTTAAAGACAATACTCATTGTTTCTGGCAGCCCAGTAACCTCAGAAAAAAATTCCAGTTACAGGAGATTTTAGGCCCTAAGCCCAAACTCCCAGGTTTCATAGGTCAGGTCCATCTTATCTCCCTAACTCATTAAAGAAAGAGATGAGAAATAATGAAGAGCAGAAAAAGGCAACTTATTCAATGACATGGACACTTCCGCACATCTTCCTCAATAGACATTTTCTTTAGGTTTTAAACAGGAAGAAGGATTGAGGGCAAGAAGGTGACAGGTGTGTATAATGAAACAGTCCCTATCAGGTGTGTTCTCACCAGAACACACAGCTGGAAGACAGCACAATGGTCTGTCAGCTCATTGTCTCAGGAAGGATGGGAGGAGATGGGGAGGGAGAGAGGAATCAAAACCCTCTGGCAGGGCTGGGAAGGTGGCTCAGTGGTAGAGTGCTTGCCTTGCATGCATGAGGCCCTGGGTTTGATTCCTGAGCATCACATAAGCAGAAAAAGCCATGGCGCTGTGGCTCAAGTGGTAGAGCACTCGCCTTGAGCCGAAGAGCTGAGAGACAGCACCCAGGCCCAGAGTTCAGGCCCCACGATCGACAAAAAACAACAAACCTCTGGCAGGTGGTCCAGTCTTTCCTGGATTTCAAGATGGCTACAAAGTGGTTGCAGGAGGGTCTAACTCAGAGCAAAGATGCCTAACTTTTATTCTGCCTTCACTTCATTTGTGGGCACAAGAAAGGAGTCAGCACGGCCTAGCAAAACAGTTTTTAAGCACCTGTTAAAGACACAGTGACACTGATAGCCAAGTACAGCCTGAGATTGTTTTGAGGACTAGAGACTCAATATTGGCAGTCACTGTTAGCATTATGATTTATTTTATAATATGAGGGAAGAAGAATAAAGAAAAACTTAAGTAGGTTATAGCAATAAGAAATGTACTCATTATCTTGCCCATGTAATTGTAACCCCTCTGTACAGTATTTTCACAATAAAAAAACACCTAACATTTTAGGACAGCCATGTGCTCCTTGCTTTTACTTTGCTCCCTAAACTCCTGTCAAGTAATCACTGGCTATCAATTCAAACTGCTGTTTTCTGTTATCTCAAGAAGAATCTATTTAATAGGCTATATAGCTATAACCCTAGATGAAAATAAGGCCAATTTCACTTAGGGTATAATCTAGTAACATTTAGCCTAATTGGCACATTAAAAAAATTAGTCATAAGGTTTTAGACCAAGGGAAAATGATTTTGATCGTTTAGTCATTCCTAAGTTAATGAAATGATTAGGAATATACTCTAAAATGGAAAAAAATTATACATTTGTTGAATGAGCCATATAGGTAATCTTTATTTTCTAACAGACATATTTTGAAAAGTACAAATAAGCAGGTAAAGTTAATTTTACTAATGTATTTTATTTAACCCAATATATCTCATATAGAAAAGAAAGATACCATATAGAAAAGAAAGATATCATATAGAAAAGAAAGATTTTACTGTATCCTAATTTGTGAAGTAAGTCAGGCCTAGAGAGACCAAGGACACATGTTCTCTCATATGTGGAAGGTAGAATCAATTTATAACTGTCCAAGTAAGCACATACCTGGATGTACGAAAGTACATACAAATGTATTAGCTCAAGTATGGGATTCGAGTGGGAGAACTCAAATGGTGTAATTCCTTAGAAAAACTCACTCACAGTCCTACAAAATGAATACCAGGAAACTGACATTTGGGAGTGAGGGTGAGGTCAAGGAGAGGAGGGTAAAGAAATGAAGAGAGGAAAGGGGGGAGTGAAGTTATAATATTTGTTGCATATGCTATGATACTAAGAAAATAGGGAAGGGTCGGGCTGGGAGGGTTGGAAGACAGTGATGAAAGGGGTGAAATTGATTAAGATGCATTGTACTCTAAAGCAATTTGTTGAATGGTAACTGCTTTGTAAAACTACTTAAAGATAATTTAAAACATTTAAAAGAAAAGAAACATTTTTGTATAATTTGGACTGGACCTGAACTATATAAAAAGTAGCCACTGTCAGACGCTGGTGGCTCATGCCTGTAATCTTAGCTATTCAGGAGGCTGAGATCTGAGGATCATGGTTCAAAGCCAGTCCAGGCAGCAAAGTCCATGAGACTCTTATCTCCAATAAACCACCAGAAAACCAGAAATGGCGTTTTGGCTCAAGTGGTAGAGGCTGACCTTGAGCTGAACTGCTCAGGGACAGGGTCCAGGCACAGAGTTCAAGCCCCACAACTGACAAAAAAAAAAGTAGCCACACTCTATGCATATTTACATGTACATTTAATTAACATTTTATAATCACATATGCCTAATAGTTACCATACTGGATATTTCCATCCTCAGAAAGTTCTGTTTGATCTCACTGCTCTACATTATAACTGAACTGTTACAATATTGTTATATTATTTTTCCATTTAATTGTGAATAACACAAATAAAGCCTGGAGAATGATAATATTAATAAAACTTGTGTTGCCATGGTATCACAAAGAACTCTGATAATCCCCAGATACCAGAGACCCAGAATACTTCTAGTCTATCTTATTAACATTCAAATATCTAGAGAAATGACGGCTCGATTAAGAACCTCTTGGAATTCCATAGTGGTTTCAGAGTCATCTTCAGCTACCGGAGACCAACAAATAGCCCTGAAACTGACTATAGGAAATAATGGGTTTTAGTTTCCGGTACTGATAATGGCCTGGATATGCTGTGGATAATGGACCCAGCGTCCAAGTGTCTCTTAAAGCACTAATGCTTTAAGGCAATTTGTGATTCATCATCATCCTCAACAAAGCCATTTGAAGAGTTCCTGTGCATCCAGTCACTGCACTAACGACAAGACCTGCAAAGATCGTCTTCAATCATGTGAGGAAATAGCACAATCTAAGAAAAAAGCCCAGTACATGGCAAGGTGCATTATAGAAAACAAATGAAGTTATAAAGCAATGCTATCTGTCAGGGGTGGGGCCTAAGGCCTCCCAAATAATTCAGTATATGGTATGATTGACCCAGATGCTTCTCATGTGCTTCTTGTTGACTGCCTGTATTAATAAGTTTTGTAAGGTCCTCCAATGACAAATATCTAAATGGCCCTTGGCACAAAAAGCTTCCCCCCCCACAGCCTGAGTCACATAGATAATTTTGCATTTTTTTCAAGTACCCACAAATACCCAGAAAATTAATTTTAACTATTTTATTTAGCCCAATGTAGTCAAATTATTATCATTTTAATATGAAATTACTATTAGAATTATAAAAGAGATGTTGATATTATTCTGAGCTGAGTCTTCAAAGTCCCTCGTTCCATTCATTTATTGCACATGGGGTTAGACTGGCCACATGGGGTAAGTGCCTACCATATTGCAAACCTCAGGTACAGCGTGATAGGAGAAAAAAAATCTAAAATGTCCTATATTTAATTACAAAGGGCCTGAGGATGGAAGGTAGGGGAGATGGGGGAGGGGAGGCTAATTGCTTCTCCTGATGGGCTGGCTTCCCATCTCAAAGCTTTCCTTGCTTTAAGTACTCCTGTACCTTTCACATACGGTGCACATAACTTCAATATGAAGTAATTTATGCCTTACTTTTCCCTTCTTTCATTTTAAAGTACTATGTCTTTTTTTCAGATTCACAAGACATTTTTTCCAACTGCTATCAAGCCTTGCTTCAGGGTACTGCAGGAACTTTTCCCAGGACTGCCCCTATGTTTCAGGCTAATATCTCTAATGGCCCAATAAACCCTTTTATTTCTTTTCAGAGATTCCCTGCAGTCTGATCTCATAGAGCTTTGCTTAACGAGACAGTGGATGCTTAGGAGTAAGAACAGATGAAGGGCTGCTTCTTTGAGATTGTCAAGGAAGGAACTTGAATTGAACTTGAGAGTCTGGTAGACTTATTTTTTCTCAACACTGAGGACTGAACGTGGAGTGTCATGCCTGCTAGGTAGGCAATTTATCACTTGAAGCATGCCTCCAACCCCTTTTTTGCATTGATTATTTTCATGGTAGGATCTTTATGCTCATGGTAGGATCTTTAACACTCAAATTATAGGGGTGTATACTTAAAACAGCACTACAGGCAAACAGGAGGAGAAAGAAAATGATGATGGTCATGAGGATGATGGTGATGTGGATGATATTTGGCTCAAGTTTGCATTCTAATCCGATTAAAATATGATGGTCTTGTAGTACATCATATCTATTTCCCATTTTATATTTCTGAAACAGGAAGTTCTTGTTCTTTTCAGAGGTGAATTCTTGTGTTTCACAGATGCTTTCAGAGTAAGGAGGGAAAAATAAAACATTGGCTTCAAAATTCTTCAGAGATGAAAGTACTGTATTATATATTTTTTGAAGGAAAGAAAATACTATGAGTTAATGCATACTTTTTAGCTCTTTACAAGGGAAGGTTTCTGGGCTTTGGCACTGCTGATATTTTGTGGAGAGAGGCATGAAACTCTTGGTAGTGGAGCCCGTTCATTGTGTCCAGTGAAGGATGTTTATCAGCATCTCTAGCCTTTCTCCACTAGAGGTCAGTTGCAGCTTTCTTCCAGTTTTTGTCATGCAACAGTTTCCACATCTTGCCAAATATTCCTAGAGGCTGCTCAACTCCTGTTAAGGACCACTGATCTACCCAGGAGAGATCAATTTCTATATTGCTGGGAAGCTTTTGTAAACAAACAAGAACTCAAGCAAATAAGCTAACAACCAACCAACCAAACAGGCTATGCTGTGGGACATAAAAGTAAACCAGAGGCAAGATTTGGGTTTTTTATTTTAATGTAAATAGGAAGATGACCCAACATATTTGTCTGGGTAACAAGACAGCTACGTTAGCCAAGTCCTTAGATTCATACTTAGTGGTGGGGCAAGGTGCATATGGTCATTGCTAATGGCTTCTCATAATTAGTTTCTCTTACTTTTCTGGTTGGCCTTCATTCTACCCACCAGTAATACTTGTATTTAGTTGTCATTGCTTTCTCCCCTCGTATGTGATGCTGGGTAGTGGACATCTTTGCTCATCAGCGTGTACTACTCTCTCCTAGTGCCTCCTCTCTGGGAAAATCTCGACCTTGTTCCATCAGGTGATCGACAGTCACCAATCAACATCCGATGGAGGGACAGTGTCTTTGACCCTGACTTAAAACCACTCACCATCTCCTATGACCCAACCACCTGCCTCCACATTTGGAATAATGGGTACTCTTTCCTGGTAGAATTTGAAGATTCTACAGATAAATCAGGTAAAGGCAAGATCTAGTGTCCTTGTCTGTAGTTAAAGGAACCCTTTCATACCAATATAAAACATGTCAAATTCCCTCCACACTACTATTGACCTCTTTGGTAGAAATGGCATGAAATGCATTGGTCTTGCTATTTTCAATTTTGGAAAAAAAAAGTCCCTTCTGGTTGTTAGGCACATATTCTGCCACTATTGTAGGTGATATTTTTTATTACTAATCACATATATCTCCATAGATTCTGTAGCTGATATACAAGATGTCAAATTGAACCTTTCTCAATTTATTTAGCATACATATGCTTATGCACTAATTTGTCTTGCTTGCTGGATTTATACAAATTATTAGATTAAATAGAACAATTATTAATCATATTTAACCTACCAGATTGCAATACAGGTGAAATGGGACAAAAAGTATACTTATTGTGTAATATTGAGTTGCATTCTTTTTGGTGTTTTGTTTTGTTTTGTTTTCTGAGACCAAGACATGAAAATGGTATCTGATGCTTTTACTCATGGGCTGGTGCTCTATCTCTTCCACCATGCCTCCAACCCTGTAGGTTACCATCTTAACAACTTATTAGGACTAGTCAGTCATCTTATTAGAAAAGTAGAAACTTGGGAGCGGTGCTGTAGCTCAAGTGGTAGAGTGTTCACCTTGAGCTGATGAGCTCAGGGACAGAACATAGGCCCAGAGTTCAAGCCCCATGACCAATAAAAAAGAAAAAAGAAAGAAAAGAAAAGAAAAGAAAAGAAAATTGGAAACTTATACTGCTTCAATTTTCTTAAATATTATTTAATTTTAAACAGTTTGAAAGAGTTCATTTTTCATTCAGATATTATTTTGTGTTTTAATCTTTTACTTAGCTTGCCAAGATATAAACTAATGTGAATGATTTCAAATTTTATCTGAATGTTTTGGTGTCTATAGGAGACATAATGTATTATTGATTCTATGTGTATCTTTTTTCCTAAATCTTATGTCTTTTAGTTGTATTTTGCTGTTTTAAAGAATAAAACTTGTGCATAATAGATGAGGGCTCTGTCACTGAGCTGTATCTTTCCTCCCTTTTCTTCACAATGAATTGTGTGTATGTGTGTGTGTGTGTGTGTGTGTATGTTAGTACTAGGGCTTGAACTCAGGGCCTGGGCATTGACCTTCAGCTTTTTTGCTCAAGGCTGGCACTCTACCACTTGAGCCATAGCTCTCCTAACATTTTTTTGGTGATTAATCAGCGATGAGTCTCATGGACTTTCCTGCCCAGACTGGCTACAAACTGGGATCCTCAAATTTCAGCCTTCTGAGTAACTAGGTTTACAAGTTTGAGCTACCAGTATTCAGCTTCACAGTTAAATTTGATCATATCAAATAGTCACAATTAGTCTAAAACTCTTATGATGTGAAATAGTAGATGACTCTCAAAACAGCAGTGATTCTCAATCAGGGAAAATTTTGCTGCCCAATATCCCATATCATCATCCCTCTGACCCAACAATGGGGAAGGAGAGTACAGCCAACATCTTGTGGATGAAAAATCAGGGATAAGCCAGGCACTAGTGTCTCATGCCTGTAATCCTAACTAATCAGGAGGCTGAGATCTGAGGATCGAGGATCAAAGCCAGCCTGGGCAGGAAAGTCCATGAGACTCTTATCTCCAATGCACCACCAGAAAACCAGAATTGATGCTGTGGCTCAAGTGGTAGAAAACTTGCCTTGAGCTGAAGAGCTCAGGCAGTGCCCAGGCCCAGAGTTCAAACCCCATGACCAACAACAACAACAAAAATCAGAGATAGTGCTCAAAATCTTACACAGTAATGAAGAATTGTCCTACCTCAAAATATCAATACAGCTGAGGTTGAGAACTGACTGCCAGGAAATTTAATTTTTTTCTGATGAACATTAGAAACTGAGTCTGCAAAAGTGTTAATAAATCAAGTAAAGTAAAACTTAAAGCGTAAGAATAGATTTTCACTCTGTCTGGCTCTAAGATTCTTTGTGGGGTTTGTGGATCTTTTTTTTTTTTGTGCCAGTCCTGAGGTTTGAACCCAGGGCCTAGGTGCTGCCCCTGAGCTTCTTTTACTTTAATAGTGCTCTACCGCTTGAGCCACAGATCTACTTCTGGATGAAATTTTTATGTCAATTGAAAATAAGAGTCTCCTGGAATTTCCTGCATGGGCTGGCTTCCGAGTGTGATCCTCAGATCCCAGTCTAAGTAGCTAGGATTACAGGTGTGAGCCACTACTGCCTTTGTTTTATTTTCATTTGTGGTGATGCTCTGATACTTAAGGTATGTCTCTCTGTCCCAGTTGCAGGTAGGCTACTCCTCCAGTGGGCTTTCTCTCTGTATCTCGGTCTGTCTCTGTCTGTCTGTCTGTCTCATTCTCTGATAGAAAACTGCTTCAATTCAGAAAGTATTTGAATCTATCCTTGAGGGCCTGTATGTCCCCATGTCTATGGTATGACAGATTCCCCATATCTTGCTTAAAATTTTACCTATGTATCTCAAAGTAAGAAGAAATGGCTCCTTTTTACTTTAAACTTCATGAAAATGTCTTAATTTTTCCAAAATGCTAGAGCATGCCGCCACCTCAAATGGAAACCCATAGTATTACCCTGTGCAAAAGAGTTCCAGAAATCTTGACAACATCAAGCTAAATATCCGTATTCCCCAATGACCATCTTGCATTCCAGTGAGCTCATCTGGAAAGATTCAACTCAAGGAAAGATTCAACTATGACAATTCTCAGCATTCATTCTGCATGGCTAGCAATCCTTTCAAGTTCTAAGTCCCTAGGAACCTTTCTTTACCTTTGTAAAGGTTTACAAACCTGGGGGTTGGCCAGCCTTTGAAACTGTTGATCGTCTAGGGATGGTATGTTACCACAAGTACTAATAAATTATTGCTACATTGAGTTGGCAATCATAGGAATTTGTTTAGCAGATTTCTTAACAAATAAGTCCAAGAGTTTTTCAGGGCAAATAGCTGGAGGGTTTTTGTTGCTGTTTCTTTGGTTTTTGTTTTAGTTGTTTAGCGTCTCCTTGCTTTTGGAATTGTACATTTAAGAATTCTCCACAGCTCAGGTGGTAGAGCACTTGCAGAGCACTTGCAGAGCAAGTGCAAGGCCCTAAATTAAATCCCCAGTATCAAAAGAAAAAAGAGAAATGGAGAATTCCTCAGCCACCATTTGTATGAGTAGTCTCAGCTGGAAAATAATTGACCCATGTTTTCATCATAATGGCTCTTTAGATACCTACAAAGCTAAGTAACTAAATCAACCCAGATTCTGTCTCCCCCGAGTGAGTCAATCTCTAGGTGAATCATTCATGTTGTTTTCTTCCTTTACAAATATGCAAGAAAAATTGTAGAGAGGTTATTTTTCACTTGTTTTTTCAGAGAGGACTAAAATCGGTAGCTCCATTTTATTGTGCCTCAGTAGTTATTTTCTAAAAGAAACCATTAATCTTTGATAAGTACCTAATTTTCTCTATCTCTTTTTCTTTTTCCTTTCAGTGACTGCCTCTTACTTCCTGCTTATTCTTCGCTGGTATTTCTCTATACTATTTCAAAAACAATCAATAGCATCAAACAGGGGGAAAATAAGCACAAATGAATATTTAAAAAAGAAAGAAAAGCAAGGTACAGTTCTAGAAAAGTAAGGATCTAATGTCAATGTCTATGAATTTCAAAATACCAGAAATTAAAACAAAACAAAACATCCTAAGAAATGATACTGCAATGTGTTTTATACAGGCCTAGAATAAAGAGAAGGAAAAGAAGTCAGCTTTCCATCTTAACAAACTAGAAAGAAAACAATAATTTCAATCCAAAGCAAGAAAAAAGAATGTAAAAAAAAAAGAATGTTTAAAAAAAACAGCAGTAGAAATTAATGAAATCCCAAGTTGTTTCCTTGTGGAGATCAACAAAGTTAGCCTTTAATTACGCAGACCAAGAAAAATGTGAAAGAACATTCAAATGACTGAACTCTGAAATGAAAGCAGGGGACAACAGAAATTAGGAGATTTATAAGAGAAAGTATGCAAGCATCTCATTCCGCTGTTCTCTTCTGGGATTGCTTTGTTATCATGAGTGAATTTGAGGAATACAAAAATATCATGGAGAAGGACACTAAAGTCTCCTTGGGCTAACGTGGATGATTTCTATAAATGAATCATCTGCCCTGTAGTTCCTCTTATTGGCAAGGTCAGAAAACATTGAGGAGTAGGACATGTGAGACCCACAGCTCTCTTAAGGTTGTTTCCTGCCCCATTCTACTTCACTTCTTCACTTCACACTTTTATAGTCATCAGCAGACAGTGAATACTGTCAGAATACTTTCATAAACATTTATTCTCCTTCTCAATTTTTGGTCCCACACTTACTTTGAAAAACAATGGCCAAGCACCAGTGGCTCATGCCTATAATCCTAGCTACTCAGGAGGCTGAGATCTAAGGATCGCAGTTTGAATCCAGCCCAGGCAGGAAAATCTATGAGGCTCTTATCTCCAGTTTACCACCAAAAAGCCAGCAATAGAGCTGTGACTCAAGGGTCGAGTGCTACCTTTGAGAGGAAAAAACGGCACAGGGATAGCGCTCAGGCCCTGAATTCAAGCTCCAGGAGCAGCACAAAACAGACGAGCTAAAAACATTTTTTCTGAATATTTTTCCTATAATGTTTTGATTTCACTAGTTTAAAAAAAGTAAAAGTTATTTATTATCCAAAACCATGAAGAAGCCAATGATTGTGGCAAACATTATAGATCGTTTACATTGTTTACTGTCCAAAAGGAGATGGATAATCATTTTTGTTAACTGACAAGAATTGTATATGTTTATAGTATGCAATGTGATCATTTGATAGTAGAATTATTATATTATATTAATTTGCACATTCATCACCTCACATACTACTTTTAGAATGAGAACATTTATAATCTACTTTTTTAGAAATGTTGGAATATAAATGTATTATTATCAACTATCATAACCATGATGTGCAATAGACCTTAAAAACATAGTCCTTCTGTCTCACTGAGACTGTGTGCCCTTTAGTAAACATGTCTCCTGCAAATTTCCTAGTCCATTTTGGGGAAAGAGAAGGAAAAACTAATGCTTGTAAAAGTTGGAAAGAAAAGTGGTAGTGCATAAAAAAGAAAGAGAGAGAGGGGCTGGGAAGGTGGCTCAGTGGTAGAGCGCTTGCCTTGCATGCATGAGGCCCTGGGTTTGATTCCTCAGCACCACATAAGCAAAAAGAAAAAAGCCGGAAGTGGCACTATGGCTCAAGTGGTAGAACGCTAGCCTTGAGCTGAAGAGCTGAGGAACAGCGCCCAGGCCCAGAGTTCAGGCCCCACGACCGGACCCCAAAAATAAATAAATAAATAAATAAAAAGAAAGAGAGAGAGTAGGCATGGTGGTGCTTGCCTATAATTTCATTACTAGGGATGCTGAGGTAAGCAGAATTACAAGTTGAAGGTGAGTTTGGACTGTTTAGGGAGATCCTGCTAAGAAAGGAAAAGAGAAGAAAAGAAGGGAGAGAGGGAGGAAGGGAAGAAGGGAGGAAGGAAAGGGAAGGGAGGGTTGAAGAGGATCTTTCGTCATCATATTTTGGTTTTATCAGATTGCGTTGGATAAATATGCTAAAAGAAGTTTGTACTCTATTGCACAGAAAAGAAAACTGGACATAGTAATGTCCAGTAATGTCAAAATGAGTCAAGAATTAGCCTTTAACAATTGTTTGTAGCCTCCTATGTGATTAGATCTCAATGTCCTATCTTCTCTCAACTGTACTGGATCTAGTTTATACATGCTTGTGTGTAATACAGCATACTCCATGGATAAGATGGTTCACGTAGAAGGTCCCCCTTTTATCCACATGAACTGAATTGCCATTTCAGTGATTGAGGGAGGACCTTTGGAACACAACTACCGATTGAAGCAATTTCATTTTCACTGGGGAGCCATTGATGACTGGGGCTCCGAGCACACTGTGGACAGCAAATGCTACCCAGCAGAGGTAGGTTGAAAAGGTTCGGAAGAAAATGAGGATACTTCTGAGATCTCTAGCTCAAGGAAATAATCAGAAAGAATCAGTGATTATCCTGCCAAGAAGAGATTTTTCTTCAACTCCCATCTAATTTCCACTGAGAAAATCTGTTTCCCTTGCCTGTATATGCCAAATAGCTTGCTTTGGAGGCATAGTTGTACTCCCAGATTAATTCTATAAAAATTGTATATATCTTAAACTATATAGGTGAAATAAACTTTAAGACCTGCAAATTGAGCTATTCCAGAATTCTGAGCTAGGCTCAAATCAATGCCTAAAATATGTCAGATAACAGTGCAGAGCAACAAATTTGAATTGATCTAAGAGGAAAATGGTGGGAGCCTAAATGAAGGCCATTGTGTGTGTGAGAGAGAGGGAGAGAATGTGTGTATGAGAGAGAAATATATTTATCAAATACTTGTCAAATAAAAAGCACCAGTACTGGGAGGTGGGACCCTCTTCTCTAGAGAAAACAAAGTTAACTATAACCTTGAGTGTGTCACTTGCAAAGCTGAGTGATAATGCTATCATCTGTGAATGATGGAGGAGAAATGATTTCTAAGGGAACTCTAGAAATAGCATAAGGAAATAGAATTTCTTCTTACAACATTTCCCTTAATTTAGTTTTCACGTTAAAAATGAAAAAAAACACATTTGAAGAGGTCATCCTGGGCAGAAGAGATTTGTCTTCAACTCCTACCTAATTTCCACAGAGAGAATCTATTTCTCTTGATATGAACACCTTCTCTCTCCTAGGATGCAAATGGATTTGGGATATTAGTATTTCGTGCAAATAAGGATAGGAATGAATAAATGTTGATCCCTCACTGAAATGCTACTTTGCTATAAGAATTGTTTCTTTCCCAATGCATCACTCTCCCAAAGTAATATTAATTGTTGCTCTTACCAAAATTTCTTCTCATCTTTTTTTATTTCAATCTCATTTCACACAAGATTGTTACATGCCTTCTTCAATAGCTTTCTTTTGGATAAGGAAACACAATTAACTACTGTGTTATTGGATGAGACCGTCAGTTTATTTGGGAGCAATCCTATGTGGCTATGTGTTAAAAAAAACTTTTAATAATATTTCAGCTGCACTTGGTACATTGGAATGCAGTGAAATTTAAAAGTTTTGAGGATGCAGCCCTGGAAGAAAATGGATTGGCTGTGATAGGAGTATTTTTAAAGGTAAAAGACAAAACACTTTTCAACATTAAATTATGTATTATATTCTAGAATGAAAAGATAGAACATTACATGGGAAAAATGATGCAAGGGGTGACATTGATCAAGATGCATTGTACTCATAAGCTAACATATTGAATCGAAACCCCTTTGTACAGCTACTTAAAGATAATAATAATAAACATTAGAATATTACAATATATTTTATACTTTAAGAATATCGGGACCAATGTGTGGGGAGGAGACAGTAAGGAAGGTTATTAGGGGTGAATATAAAGTATCTTATACACATATTTGAAAATGTCACAGTGAAATCGATTATTCTGTATAATAGGTGATATTAAAAAAGAATATTCGAGTTGGTACACTGGTAAAGATAAACAATGGTTAAAATACAAGATTATTATGAATATATTTCAATATAGTAGGCACAAGCCACCTGTAGCAATTGAGACCGTATCACAAAAGAAACAGAATTGTGGTTAGTTCATGTGCAAAACAGATCTTGTTTTAAGTAATAAAAGTTTCAAGATAATTTCATTTATAAGAAATAGTACAATGTAAGAAATGATACAAAAGATACCTTTCCGAGAAGACACAATGGCCTTGTCAGCCAACAGCCTGCTCATTTGTTCTTTGTGTAATTTAATTCAGTGATGTGTATAATATTCTCAATTATCAGCTCAAGTCTAGTTTCAGTCATGTGGTTTGTTTATATAGAATCACTAGGTGGTTAATTTTAATTCACTTTCTGTTACATTTGCTACAGTGAGATGTTAATTTTTTTTTTTTACTATTTTCTCTTTGTTCTTTAGCTAGGCAAACATCATAAAGAGCTACAGAAATTGGTGGATACTTTACCATCAATTAAGCATAAGGTAATTTTCCTCCCTAAATTATTTGAAATATGTTTTGATTTCACTCCCAGAGTGGAGACATTAACGAGGCGCTTTGAATCAGGAAGAGTAATTAAGGTGAACTGTGTTCAGGTTCTTTCTCACTTCTGCTGCACACGGTGACTTGCTTTGTATGATGCTGTGTTAAGAGGCTCCTGCTTTCATCCAGGGTTCAGGGCACAGACTGAGCATTAGTTTTGCTGCTGCACTATTGAGATCTCAGACTCAGGAACCCACTACTGTCCCCTCTTTTGTCCCTGACAAAACACTCAAAGCAGCCTTCCTTTCTCCAGCTACTTCACACAGTAGGGAATGAGAAAAGTTCCACAGACACTTGAATCTGTTTGGCTTTAAAAATGAGTTATCTATATTCTCTGTTGAGCTCCCAAGATGAGTTCTGCAATATTCAGAATCCCAAAGGTCTGCTCACTGGAAATCTATGCTCATGCCTCTCTCCTTTTTCTCCCCCTTCTCCCTCGCTTCTCTTGTCTATTCCTATTCCTTTCCATCTCCCTCTTTCTCCCCTCCTTTAGTCTAAGATCTAGCTCCTTCTTATTATACTGTATTTTATTGATGATGATGATATTGATGGCGATGATTATGATGCTAGGGAGGGAATCCAGGGACTTGGGTACCACCACTAATCTATATGCCTAGCTCTCTCATTTTATAAGGACAGTTATGAGTTAATCTCTTTTGTAAAGGAGAAGCCTCCTTGTTTATACATTAGCCATTACCTAATACTTCTCAAGATTCCTCATAGGGAACTACCTGCTGCTATAAACTTATTAAAACTGAGTGACAAAATTTTTTCTTGGCTATTTTCCCAGTGAGAACCATCAGAAATACACAGCATGACTCTAAGTAGTAATGATTGTTCCAGAAGATGCCCAGGGTACCTAGAGCTCCTGTAGACCACTGCTGGTCCCTAGATACTACCTGTGGCCATGTCATTTAATTCCTCAGTGCCTTCTCCAGTAAATAACTTGGTGGTATTTTCTCTTGGCTAGGATACCCTTACGGAATTTGGGTCATTTGACCCTTCCTGTCTGATGCCCACCTGTCCAGATTATTGGACCTACTCTGGATCTCTGACAACCCCACCTCTCTCAGAGTCAGTAATATGGATCATTAAGAAGCAGCCAGTAGAAGTTGATCATAATCAGGTATGGTTTATGCACATTTTACACACATAAGGATCCAAGTCTGTTTGTTTTAAAAAGGCCAGACCCAAACTTTGATATCAGCTTTAGTATCTTAATTTAGATGTAAATTAGGAAATGCTTCAATTAAGTAGATTACTTTTAGTGCTAGAGATAGATCATCCACAGGGTCTAATACATGCTAGGCAAGCATTTGAGGCTGTATCTCTAGCACCAACTGAACTAGAAAGCATGGAAGAATATAAGCTATTTGTACTATATTTGACAATTACATATATTTATGTACTATGT